CCGCCGGGAGCTGTCTTCCTGGGCTGCGGAAGGGGAAGGGATCGGCGCCCGGCGGAGCTCCCCGGGGAGCCCAAGCGGCGCAGGGGCGGGGAGGGCGCCCGGGGTGTGCACCTGGCCCAGCAGTTCCCAGGGTCCGGCCAAGGTCAGGCGCCCAGCAGGGCCGACCGGCCCAGGGTGTTGCCTCCTGCTGGGCTCACAGACTTCCGGCGCCGCCCCCCAAAAACAAACACTGAGACATTCCGTCCCCGTTCTCGGTACGCCCTGGCACTTTGAGACTAGGGCGGCTTCTTTATCCCTTCGAACGCTCTTCTCAAACACCTGGCACCAGTTTTCCTGTGTGCAAGGCGCCTTCGCTGGAGCTATTAATAGTTTTTAAAGAGTAGTACACTTGGGATGTACTTTGAAGTAGTCTTTGATCTAGTCTGCGTAGTCAGAGAAAGATTCCCGGCAATATCATACACAGTGGAGCACATTTTTAAATCGTGCTCTTACCCTACTTCTTTGAATGCTTCATAGTTATAGTCAATTCAGTACTTGGAACAGACTGACAATCTCAGAGGGGGAGGGGTGGGAAGAGATTAGCTAAAGAATATATATTATTATATATGCATAGCCTGTGGACACAGACTGTAGCGCGGTGAAAGCCTGGGGTGGGCGGAAATAGTGGAGGGGTCAATGGGGGGAAAAGGGGGGACATCTGTATTATTTTCAACAATAAAGATAAATTTTTAAAAATTAAATTATATAAACTTAAAATAATGTAAATTATGTTAAAACAAAGACAGTGAAAATACTCAAAACTCATCACTTTATTATTTGCCATGTTTTACTGTTATTTATGCACTTAAGGCTATTTACATTTATTGCGTCTATGTGGTGGAAATAACAGTCTGGAGCGCTACTGTGCATCTCTTCCCAAACTGCATTCAGTGATGTCACAATCCAGTGATGTCACGCTTATGGTGAGTGAATACACCAAGGAAGCTGGCACACATCACAAATCAAACCTCCCCTGAAACTGTTTGTTAAACATTTACCAGCACACTTCTGAATATAGGTGATTAAAGGATTGGAATGCACAATATAATTATTTTCCTGCAGAGTAGACTGCCCTTATTTACTTAAAATGTATATGTTGATCAAGTATTTATTTGTACCTAGGGAATTGTTGCCAGAAATTTTGAGGTCGACATCATGAATTTCAGTCTTTATCATAGTGATTATCACATAAAACGGTGATCATTGATTTCCCATAAGCAGGGCTAGTGACTTATTTTTGTCTATACAGTGCTTAGCAGTGTTGAATGACTGAATGAAGCTGTGTGAACGAAATGTCTCTAATTTGATCCCTCTTTTGAGGTAAGGGGCTTGGTAAAATTACATTAAAGCAAAACTCAAAACTCTTTCTTGTTTTCAGTGATATTTAACCCAGTGAGAGAGCTTCTTTTTCAACATAGCAGTAATGTTCTGTTATTATATTAGAATTTTCTTTTCATTTAACTACTTGTGAGGCCATAGAAGGCCTAGTTCTTCAAACATCCATATTTTGGTTCGCTTAATTGGGATTTATAATCCTTCTTGAATTATATTTTGTGTATGATATGTAATGTAGGGATTGAGGTTTTTGTTTTTCCAGAACCTAATAGTTCTAACACAGTTTGTTGAAAAGACTTTCCCCACTTAATCACCTTGGTGCCATGTTTTGAAAATCAAGTGACTGTATGTATAGATCTACTTCTGTATGCTGTATTTTCTTCCATTTATATATTTGTGTATCCTTAGGTCAGTTCTACATTGTGTCAAATATTGTGGCTTTGTAAGTCTTGAAATTCCTCGATCTTTGTTCTTTTCTCCCCAAAATTGCTTTTGCCACTTATGGCACATAGTGTTTTCCTAAATGACTACAGCAATATCTTCCATTCCACATGCTTTTTTTGTTCACTATGACTTTGACACTCTTGAGACAGACTGGTAAACCAGGATAATTGGAATAGGGAAACTGAGACAGATAGTTAAACAGCAGTTTTCAACCACCTAGTAAATCCTGTCTTCCCTTAAAGATGACAGCTCTCTTGCATATTGGTTGGTTTTTCTTGTTAGTAGTACGTAAATGGTTTGCACTTCTCCCCAACCAGAGGGTAAACGTCTTAAATCACCCTACTTGGGGGACACAGCAGAAATCCAATTAGTGCCACTTGCCAGCCACACCCAAGGACAGATGAAGAGAATAAACCTCATTTTGGTACATCAGCATAAAGCTGATGAATATTCTATTAAGATCCAACCCTAAGTACCAGGCCTTTAAAAGCCCTCAAAACAAAGGTCCCAGTGCTGTGCTCTCTCTCCCAGGAGCACACCAGTCCCTTCCCCCTTTTCTTTCCCTGCAGGTGTGCATCTCCTAAACTCTAAGGGACTCTGCAAGGCTTGCAACCAGGGCAGCAATGGGCAGCAGCAGTTCATCCTGGGCAAACCCCCTGAACCTGTCCCCAAGGCCCCCTTTTCGCTGACTTCTTAGTGAGCCAAAGCAGCCCAACCTAGGCTCATTTCCCCAGCCCTTCCTTGTTTCACTGTCCCAAGTTTTAATAAATGTCCTTTACCAGAAATGCAAGTCCTCAGCAACACCTTTCTTATGATAATCAAGAAACAACTACCATAAAATTTGTTTAAAAAGATATAATTTTGAAATGGAAGTATCAGGTATGAATTGAATTATCTAATTATATAATTTTTCTATCAACAGTGGAGGAAGGAGGGATAGTAAGAACTAGTGTTTATTTCGAACTGTCCAGAAGGAAGAAGCACTTTATCAAATAACCATGAATATATATAGCATAGTTTATTTCAATCCTGTTGGATGTTTATATTGAATTAAATAGAAAATGCACCCTTTATCATGAAAAATAAATAAATAAATAAATGTCCTCTAAAATTCACCGGGGCTCTTATTGCGAAATTTTTTCCTGCAGAAAGTCAAGAATCCACACACTATGGGCCAGCCCTAGGCAGAGCCACTCAGTGTCAGGTCTTCTTTTTGGTAACTCTTCACAGAGTGATGGCATCTATACTCCCTCTTGAATCTGAGTGGGAGTTTGTGACTGCTCCAACAGGATGCAGTGGAAGTAACACTGCTTGGTTTCTGAGGCTAGGTCTTAAACAGTAATATAGCTTCTGCCTACCACTGTGACTCCCTTGCTCTTTCACTTTCTCTTTTGGGACAGGCACTCTTGAACCTAGACACCATGCTTTAAGGAAGTCCAAACTAACCCACATAGAGGGGCAGCCTGTATGTGTGACTGTAGTAGATGATTCCAGACCCCTGCCTGTAAGTCTTCCAGTTGAAGCCTCGGACATGATGCAACAGGAATGTACTTTAATGCTGTATCCTGTCTGAATTCCTGATCTACAGAGTCCGAGAGCATAATCAATGATTGTTTTGCTCCATGAAGTTTTGGGGATAATTTGTTGTATGGCCATAGTAACTGAAACAGTACTATAGGCCCTTTGCATCTCCATGTAAATTTTATTTTATTTTTTTAAAAATATATCTTCATTGATTTCAGAGAGAGGAAAGGAGAGTGAGAGAGAGAGAGATAGAAACATCAATGATGAGAGAGTCATTGATCGAGCCTGCAACCCGGGCATGTGCCCTGACCGGGAATCGAACCCCGATTGCCTGGATCCTAGGTTGACGCTCAACCGCTGAGCCATGCCCAGCCGGGCTCCATATAAATTTTAGAAGCAGTTTGTCAATTTCTAGATTAAAACCTGCTTTTTGATTGGGATTACATCGAGTCTGTAGATTAGTATGGAGAGAATGAACATCTTAAAACTATTGAGTCGTGCAAAACAGATATATTTATTTTATATATCTATAAATTTAGGTCATTTTTTTTTTTAATATGAGATAATTACATAAGAGGTGGAACACTTTTTTTTTTTTTTTAATATGTCTTTATTGATTTCAGAAAGAGGAAGGGAGAGAGACAGAGAGATAGAAATATCAATGGTAAGAGTCATTGATTGGCTGCCTCCTGTGAACCCCGACTAGGGATCAAGCCCGAAACCCGGGCATGTGCCCTGACCAGGAATCGAACCCCGATCGCCTGGATCCTAGGTCGATGCTCAACTGCTGAGCCATGCCCGGCCAGGCTAGGTCATTCTTTAGTTTCTCTCTGTGGTGTTTTGTTATTTATAGCATAGAGGTCATGTGCATCTTTCATTAAATTTATTCCTACATTTTCTTCCCACAGAGAAAGGGATCATATATTTTACCAACTCTGTTTCCCTTCTTAGGCAAATCACTTAACTTCTGAGCTTCCATTTCTTATTGTAGATGGAGTTAATAAATAATACCTTGTTCTGTGGGTTTAATTAGATATACACGTTTATTGCTTAGCACATTGCTTGGTAACTAGTAAGAGCTCAGTGAAATAAACATTATCTCTTATATTTATTATCACTGGAGATCTACATAATACTGAGAGTCTGTCAGTTTGTTGGCTGTTGAATAGTATTGAGTTACTCCTGAAAAGGAGAAGAAAATGAAGGAAATCCATTTCATTTAGGATGCATTTTAAGTATTACTAGCAGCTTTTCCCATATCCTTTCAGTTGTTTTTAAATGTGAGAGGAGCCCAGCCACCGTGGCTCAGTGTTGTCGTTCAGTGGTTGAGTGTTGAACCTAGGAACCAAGAGATCTCGGGCTTGATTCCTGGTCAGGGCACATGCCTGGATTGTGGGCTCGATTCCCAGTAGGGGGCATGCAGGAGGCAGCCAATTGATGATGTTTCTCTTTCATCGATGTTTCTATTTCTCTACCCCTCTCCCTTCTTCCCTCTCTAAAAACCAATAAAAACATTTTAAATTTGAGAGGAAAAACTATAGAGTACTGATTCTAAATCATCTAGGTTTTTTCCTCTAAGACAGATATTATTTGATTTTAGTTTGATTTTCAAAAATTGCTAGTCAGAATTTCAGAGTTAATTTACTATTTAAAATAGAATAATTGAAGGTTCTTATTCCAACTCTCTCTTTTTAAATCTCTTAATCTAGTTAGGAATTATAGTAATTTATTGTAAAAGTGTCTATTTTCTTATTCAGTATCTTAATTCTTATAGGACATTTTGAGTCACTGGACCTTGCAGAATATGCTAAAAAGCAGCCATGGTGGCGCAAGCTGTTTGGGCAGGAAACTGGCCCCTCAGCTGAGAAGTATAGTGTGGCAACTCAGCTGCTAATTGGAGGTGTCACTGGATGGTAAGTGATGTGAAAGATGTCCAGTGTCTTTTTTTTTTTTTTATATGGTTTAGTATTGTGGTTACAGGAATAATCTCCTTTAACCAATAAAAGCTTGTTGAATTCTGTGAAATAGATCACTTAATGTGTAGCATTTATCTAAACATCATGTTAAAGTGCTGTTTAATGGTTACACATAGTATTTACTACATGCCAGGTACTGTTTAAAGTATATATATATATATATATATTTCATTTCCTTCTCACAACTCTGAAATTGGTACTGTTATTATCTATCCTCATATTCCCCCAGTTTTTTTGAGAAATAATTGACATACATCACTGTATAAATTTAAGGCTTACAGCATGATGGTTTGATTTACATATATTGTGAAATGATTATCATAGTAGGTTTGGTTAACATCCATCATTTCATATAAACACAATAAAAAGAAAAGAAGAAAAATTCTCCTTGTGATGAGAACTCTGAGGATTTGCTCTTCTAATAACTTTCCTATATATCATATAGCAGTGTTAACTATAGTCATCATGTACATTACATCCCTGGTGTTTATAATTGCAAGTTTGTACCTTTTGACCACCTTCCTCCAATTCTCCCTCCCCCTACTCTCTATCTCTTTTTCTAGGATTCCACATATAAATGAGATCATGCAGTATTTGTCTTTCTCTGTCTGACTTATTTCACTTAGCATAATGCCCTCTAGGTCCATCCATGGTGTTGCAAATGGTAAGATTTCCTCAATTTTTTATGGCTGAATAATATTTCAGATATATATAATATTTATATATTTAATATTTCATTATATATATGTATATATATGTGTGTGTATATATGTGTATATATATATATATCTCTCACAACTGTTTCTGTATACCTAACAGGCTATCAACTTGTCTGATGTTGGTTTGATTTTTGTAGGTGCACAGGCTTCATATTCCAGAAGGTTGGAAAGTTGGCTGCAACAGCTGTGGGAGGAGGATTTTTTCTCCTTCAGGTCTGTATGTGAATATTCCTAGATATTTGGAAATTCCACTTGCCCATTAGGGATGTGGTATGAGGAGCTATAATATATTACATGAGAATAGCCTCTGCACTTGTTTACATGAACTATTTGAAACTCCAGTGACCTTTGAATCAAACTTTATCAATTACTAGTTGCATTTTATTTTGTCATTTATAACATGGAGACATAAGTATTTATTTCTTATCATAGCTCCCTTTCAGGGTCTTCTGAAATGTCTTTGCATAGACTTTTACTATTTTTTTCCATATAGGTTTTGTATATCTGTGGTTTGATTTTATTCCTAGATTCCTGATAGCTTTAGTTGCTCTTATGGCACTTGTCCCCAGTCCTAAGGCTTTTCCCCAGTTGATAGATACAGAATGATACAGCTAATGATGTGGAACATCTTTTCATCTGTTTTGGTAAAGTGTCTAGGTATTTTTCCCATTTTTAAATTGGGTTGTCTGTTTCTATACTTTCTATTATTTTCATTTATTTTTTTGTTAATCTTCACCCAAGGATATTTTTTCCATTGATTTTTAGAGAGTGTGGAAGGGAGGGAGGGAGGGGGAGAGAGAGAGA